AATACTTGCAGGACCTAAGCTTGCTTCTTGGCAACGATGAAGAAAAAATTGGAGAGTTACAACTAGTTATAAAAAGTAAGTGGAATAATTTAACAAAAATTGTTGCGGTCTGTGAAGTTCAGAGTTTCCGATTTCACTTTTGTGTGGGCGTCAGTGTCGCGAAAAGTGCTGTTGATCGTGCATCTGATCTCTCTCCAACCGTGTCGGATTGACTTCTCATTAACTCTTAAGATTTATGGGATGGAAAGTGTACTCATAATATGTTATTTTATGTTTTGTTTGTAAAAAGCTGACTATGGAAGAACCCGATCTCTGATACAAGTGCTTATAGGTAATAAAAAGACGCCCCCGACCTTATGCACATTGTCAAATGCGTAATGAAATAAAAAGATTATTATTATTTAAAAAAAACTAGCTGCCGAGAGCGAAGTTCGATGTGGAGGACATTATTATCTAACTGTGTGTGATGATGAAAGAATGTCCATTACGCCATATAATCTTGTGGGTGTCGTAAGAAGTGACAGAGTGAAGCTGAACCAGAGGATGTGCAGCAGCGTGTTCCTAATAACAAGTAAAGAAAAATGCGTTGTGAATTGTCTGTAACGTGAAATTTATACTAAACGGAAACTAAGTGATAAAACGAGACGTCCTCAAAATATTTATGAATGGCCAAATAATCCGTAATAACGTTTTGTTTGATAAAATATCTTATTTTAACATAAATAATAGCCACGTATCCGTTTATCTGCGAGATTAATTTTGATTCGTGTTCCGCTAATTGTTCATTTAAAGCAGAGATTATCAAACTTATTTCTAAACTAGACATCAGTGAGAGCAACTAAAACGCAACTTTATAATATTAAGAAAAACTAAAAAAAATATTTTGTTTTAGTTTTAAATCTAATCTAATGAGATGGATTGATTTGATGATTTTTAACAAGTTTGTTGATATCAGGTTCGATTTTACTCAAAAACAGTCGTTAGTCGCCGCATTCGGTAACATACAAAGGATTTCTTTTTTCACACAAATATGACGATGGAAATGCTATCAAAAATCGTTGAACGATCGACCACAATCCACGGTACAACTGCGGGATTGACTTTTGTGTAGCCAAAATTCTTTGTAGCCATTTTTTAATTTCATTTTTATTTCCTTGTTCGTTGGCAGTTCTATAAGTTCGTTCATTTGAAGTGATACTGCTATGATGGATACGAAAATAATGAAACTCACGTATGCCGATACATTCTTCTTGTGTAAGAGCAAAGTAAGCAAAGCAGCGGCGACATTTTTTGTTTTTATTAAGTTCAAGTCATCGCCTTGAAGTTGGAGATTCATATCATTAAACAATTTATAAAGGTCTGTCACTTATGTGATATCATTCTTTAATGTGATGAGGTTATCGCGCAATTCTGTGTGTTTGTTTTCCAAAAAATTTACAACAGAGACAAGCAGATTATAAAATCGAGTCAGACGATTTTCTTTTGATAGCCAACGCACTTCCGTGTGAAAGATCAATCGGTTGAAATCTTCATCATTAGTAACACAGTACATTAGTTACATTAATTATGGGTTTTAATACTATTCTTCAATATTTTATTGCAATAATCGTACCTACATAAAACACATAAACCATATCCATGAACACACGCACACAAGTTACACACGCCTCGCACACACATTTTATGCTCGTAGAATCAATAGGTATTAGAATGATACATAAAATCTCCTACATTTTTGGGTAATCGATTCGAACTACTATTACCAAAGTCACGCACATTAATGGAGGCATGGTACGTAAGATATGCGCGTCACGTGATACTGACGCACATTAACGCAGGCATGGTACATAAGATATGCGCGTCACGTGATACTGACGCACATTAATGCAGGCATGGTACGTAAGATATGCGCGTCACGTGATACTGACGCACATTAATGCAGGCATGGTACGTAAGATATGCGCGTCACGTGATACTGACGCACATTAATGCAGGCATGGTACGTAAGATATGCGCGTCACGTGATACTCACGCACATTAATGTAGGCATGGTACGTAAGATATGCGCGTCACGTGATACTGACGCACATTAATGCAGGCATGGTACGTAAGATATGCGCGTCACGTGATACTGACGCACATTAATGCAGGCATGGTACGTAAGATATGCGCGTCACGTGATACTCACGCACATTAATGCAGGCATGGTACGTAAGATATGCGCGTCACGTGATACTGACGCACATTAATGCAGGCATGGTACGTAAGATATGCGCGTCACGTGATACTGACGCACATTAATGCAGGCATGGTACGTAAGATATGCGCGTCACGTGATACTCACGCACACATTGATCAAAGACTGACGTCGCTATGAACGGTGCGATGTGTTAGCAACACGGTATCTGTACCTATAAAGTATCTAACTTTACATTGGTTGCGTTTCATTTCACAGAAAAAAATTGTTTGTGAACACAACAGATTCTTCCTATTTTTGCTTTTAGTTTTTGGGGATTAGTAGGATTTAGTTACGGGGACTGTTTAAGAAAGGAAAACTACTAACTAGGACAACTTTAACATGATATTATTATATTTAAAAATAAAAAGTTAAATTTTATTTTATGACATAAATGTTAGTTCATTATTCTATTTTTAGATACGAACTGAGAAATGTATTAAGTTTTTTTTTAAATTATTATCTCTAAGTAGGAATCCGTGAAATAGGACAGCCAGGGGACTGTATTTTTAGGGCTTCAATAATTATTAAAAAATAAAAGGAAAATTGTTTTCGTTCTAAATACAATATTACTATAAAACTCTGCGTGAATTTTAATTAAGGGGCATAGTTATATTTTGTTTAAAATCGGTCCGGACAGCCGTTTAACAGAACAGAGAATCAGAAGAGAATGTGTGTGTGTGTGCACATTACTCACAACACACGTATTACACACAACTGAATACATATAAACATAATGTGCGTATATACACATAAAATAAAGTACATATATACAATATATATAGTAGAAAAATAGTATTATGAAACAAGGTTGACGAGAAGTTCTCGCACTTTGGACTTTAACGAAATCCTGTTTTCGGCACTCCTGATTTCGGAAGGAAGAGCGTTCCGAAGGAGAACAGATTGAACAAAGAACGATGATTGGACAAGGTTTGTACTAAAAGGTTATTACTAGAACGGAGTACTCTATCATGGTTGGAGCTGAGATACTGAAAATGAGGAGTTAAATGAAATGGAGAATGAGGAGACATCAAGATAGAGTAAAGAGTAGTGAGTCCACGTAGACTGCAGCGCTGATGAATGGGTAGCCAGTCAAGTAGAGAGCGATAAGTGAACACTTATTACGAAGACGGTCATATTTGTTCAAGAGTTCTGCATTCAGGTTAGAATAACAAACAACCCATAGTACGGGAGAATGTTCTTCAGGCGGTAGAGAGAACGCAAAGTACCTGTGACTTTCTGACAATCATTCGCCACTTAAGTTTGCAGCTCTAGGTGGAGTCAATGTGTAACTCAAGGTCTAACACGGTATAACACAGTTCTAAAATAAAACCGTTATAAATGATCGGCGGTAAAGCTTTGGGATCCAGTTTCTTTATCATCCGTTGGCTACCTATTATTATAGCCTGACATTTGGATGGGGAACTTTAAGGCCAAACTTGTCAGACCAGTTCTTTATATACTCTTGGTCCCTATTAACATAGCTGTAGATATACAGTCGACTTTCGCGTGTGAGTATAACTGCAAGTCATCAGCATACAAATGATACGCACACTGAAGATGTGGGGTAATGAGTATTTATAAATATTGAAAATAACAAAGGAGATACAATATCGCCTTGAGGAACACCAGCACGCAAGTCCCACCACAATTTTATGAAGACTCGTTAATGTGAACTGACTGCTGGCAGCCTTGAATATAAGATTATTTCGTTTTTGTTGACTATTACGTTATTTGGTGTTTTTCTTTTATTATTTTATCTAAATTCTGTTAACAGCGGAGCATAAATGCGGGAAAGTGCTACATAGTGCTACATAAAAATTGTATATAACGTAATAAAGTATTTTGAGGAAGAGAAAAATCTGGAACGTTATCACCCATTGCGATATAGTAAAGCGAGGGTGGGTATGGCAACAGGATTGTTACTAGAATTAAATTAGATGGTGAGTACAAAGATTATCTAGTAGCTATCCGTTTCCTCATAATTAATGATTCGAACAGACTATGTACCTTAAAATAATAAATGAAAAATATTATATTCGCTATTCAATATTCGTTTTTTCAAGCGTTGTCCGTTCTTAGGGTTCTGTACCCATATTTCGTGATATTTGTGATAGCAAATCAGAGCAGTCAACATTGCCAGAACAAATTTTCAATAAAAATGCAATGTCAGTAATCTCCCAACGCTTTATCAGAGGTAACAGATGATGCTGTTTCCATAAGAATATATAGTCTTCTGATACAACATTTTGTAAAAACATTGTCAGAGTAGGAAAAGCATGCTTAGAGGACTCGGCGGTCGCAGCGTGGCATAACGTTTACGGGCACTGTTATGGCCTCTCCACATTCCCACGCGAATCACGGCACGAAACACACCGTGATTTGCGGCGTGAATCATGGCAAGAACTGTTCTTGGCTCCACTCTCGCAAAAGTTCGCGTTAGGTTCACAGATGTAGTTCGCGCGCTTGACAAAGATGGACGTCGAAGTCGCTACTTCGGATGCTGGGCTACTTTGCGCATTGCGATTAAGAATTACAATTTAATAAAAAAATAAAAAGAAGTGGAGAAAACGATGATATTGGATGTTAACCATCCACAGCAACAGCACAAGATATGTAGGTAAATATAAAGTACAGCCGTTATACGGCCTACTGCTGGACACCGGCCTCCTCATTTCTGAGAAAGTTTTACGTCAAGGAAATGTCCGCCGCGTTGCCCCAATGCGTGTTGGTGAACTGCAGGTTTCCTCACTTTTCCTTCACCAACGAGCACTGAACTACTTTGATACGCAGTAAAAACCCGACACCAGAGGGAACGGCCCGGAAATTTGGCGCACGTTCCAAGGCGGTATCCATTTTACGCGGCTGGAATGCGCGCCAGTGATCGACTTTTTGAAGTGAAAACTTCTTTATTGGCGTTGTACACTTTTTTGTAATTGGTAAAAAAAATTTAAACTCGCGTCAAGACACGTGACCCTGATCGAAAACTCGTAAGACGGATGGAGAGAAAGAGAGACAGCCGGCGCGGCGTAGGAGAAGAAGTATCCCCTCTCTTTCTACGGCGCGGAGAAAATGTATGCCTGCGCTTGCTGTTGCGTTTAGGCGGCGCAGGGCGCTAGCGCGAATGTTCGTGTGTGATAATTCAAGCAATTCGTGCAAAATTATTCCCTAATCATTCCATAATATCAAAAATGCACAACGTTAATATTCAAGTTTTCGTTTCTGCTGGAGTGCAACCCGTCGATTTTTGGAGCACATAATTGATACGCGACTTTACGTTGTTAGAGTACTCGGCGTGCCTGGAAGACGAGGCGGAGGCGGAGGCGGCTGCCAGTGCGGAAGAGGCGCAGCGGAATGCGCGGCGCGACGCGCTGAGCGTAGCGCTGCGGGCCGAGCGCGCGCAGTGCTTGCAGACGCGCGCGCAGGCGAACGAGCTGCGCTCCGCACTGCACGACAAGCACGAAGCGCTTCGCCTACTCGACCTGGAGATAGAGCGCGCGCAGTCAGTACACTTCCTTCATAAAAAAACCGTCCAAGAGCGTGTCGGGCCACGCTCATTGTAGGGTTCCGTTGTTTCCCGTCCGTCACAATAAGTGTTCCCACTTATGAGTTTAAAGGTGGTTATCCATTATGTTCGCGCTCCAGCAGCGCTCCGCGCTCCTGCAACTGCTCCCGGTAGTGGGTACTGTTGTGTCCATCCAAGTTCAAAATAATTTTCCTAGAAAGTCCTTATAAAGTTCTACTTTTCAGATTTTTTTCATATTTTCTAAACTTATGGTTCAAAAGTTAGAGGGGGAGGACACATTGTTTTTTACTTTTGGAGCGATTATTTCCGAAATTATTGACATTATCCAAAAAATGTATTTAGTAAACCCCTACTCATTTTTAAATACCTTTCCAACAATATATCACACGTTAAGGTTGAAATTAAAAAAAATTCACTTCCCACTTATAACACACTACATATAGGGGGGCTATCCTTATAAAACATTTTTTTCCAATTTTTATTTTACCACTTTGTCGGCGTGATTGATACACATATTGGTACCAAATTTCAGCTTTCTAGTGCTAACGGTCACAGAGATTAACCGAGGACGGACTGACGGACAGACAGACATGGCGAAACTATAAGTATAATAAATATACTATGTTCATGAGCAGCGGTAGTCACTTACCTTCAAGCTAGCCGCATGCTCATTTGGCGCCCTTTCATCTATAAAAAAATATATTTCCCATAGTTGCTTGTTTCGCTTAGCAAAGGGTTGGTAAAGTACTACGGTAATTTATTATTGAGCTGGCATCGGGAAGATATTAAAGTGAAACTTCTTTATCAACCTAGTAGAAAGATTTAATACGATATTAAAAACAAAAACGTCACGTTTCTTTGTAAAGTTTCACCGTCAGGGCGGCATGAGTATACTATTATTGAACCTACTGGTAAATCTAAAATAAATAAAAACAGGCCAAATGCGTGTTGGGCCACGCACACTGCAGAGGTAGAGTTCCGCAGTTGCCCGTAACAATACGCGGGCTTTCATGATAATAAGCGTAATAAGTGAGTTTGCGGCTTGATCGCTACAACTAATAGTGGACCCAAATAGGAAGATAATAACTGAAGGACTTATTTTCAAATCAGACTTGTAGTGCCATGCTGCAGTTATATAGTAGTATAGTTGTAGCACGAATGGGTCGGCTCGACTGGTAAAGACCACTCTCTCACGGAATATCAGCGTAAAATAGTAGCTTAATGCTGTGTGTTTCGTATGGTGAGTGTAGAGAACTAGAGATCCTTTTTACTGGAAACGAGGCATTCCATCTTAGTCCTCACGGGTAGCAACGCATCTACATTTTGATTCGTAATCGAGGATAGATGTAGATGTCTATGGGCCGCAGCATCCACTTACCATCAGGTGGACTGTGTGCTCGTGTGTCATTCTATTCTTTAAAAAAAGGGGGTGGTATTCAACAAAAATATTGAAAAAAAAATTTTGATTTTGAAAATAATATAATTTACACCAAATCATTTACATGACAGAAACACACACAGATGGTCATAGTTGACTATCTATCTATATGTTATATTCCCGGCACTGCAACCTGAAGATATGCCTAAATTATTATGAGGATCGCCCACGTAAACCAAGAATATGACGAATGAAACTGTATGAAGCCATATATATATAAAGCTATTGCGTACGCATATGAATATGAATACTTTAAATAAGGTCTACAATAACTACCAACTAAATAAGCGAAAGTAGTAAGCCAGGAAGAGAGATCCTCCCTGCCTATCCCGCAAACGAAAAATTAAAGCTATTGTAATAATGCACATATATGCATAAAATGTTTATCTGTTACAGTTTACAATTATAACATTACAAAGTAATAATGCAGCTAGTTTTGTCTCGTGAGAATTAAATTATTCGACAAAAAATAGAACTACGCGAGGATGAAAAAGAATTGACACAATTGCTATTGCAGTCTGAATCCACACGCTGTAAATTGACGAGAAATTTTCCCAAAGAGTTCACTTACACTTGTTTCATTCGCTCCAATTTCATGGTCTATTTGCGTACGGGATGGTATACTACTACTATTTTTACGCTTATGCTTTGTAAATGTCCAAAAGTATTTAGGGTTTAAGGTTATACTATATTCAAGGCGTACGCAATAGCTTTTGTAGCACTGTTTCAATAAATTGTTAGTTCTTTATTTTAGCAAGTCTTAACGATTATATCCATCGGAGTATTATATTTCTTAACACGTTGTCTATTTTTCTTATTTTTAACTTCCCAGTGGGAAGTTACTGTAATGGGTCCGATTTTGCAAATTGAAAAATTTTAACATATCTCCGCGTTTCAACATCTTTAGAGTCGAATATTTATTGAATACATTTTGAGAGGACGTCCGTGTGTACATGCACATGTACGTATGTATGTTCGAATTCAATTTTCGCCACGTGTATCTCGAGAACAAAGAGTGATAGTGATATGGGACCAGTTTCATTTAACGCATAATTATGTAACTTAGACGTCATTAAATTTTGAGGAAAATCGGTCAAGTAGTTTTTTGTGCCGAATGAAAAATTGTATAAAATATTAAAACATATAATATTTTTTATTCTTTCCACTGGGAAGTTAGTCGTGTCGACCTTTCGAGTCACACCTAGACCTTTTGCTTTAATACTCTTTATAAGATCCTTAGAAAACCAAATTTAAACTTAATGCTTTTAGGTGTGGTTAGTGGTACATGTTTACTTATAGTAGCACGCAATATATCATTAAAACAAGTAACCATAGATATCATTGTATGATGCAAATGTATTGAGCTAGTCAAAACTATCTAGTTCATTTTTAATAGACCATAGATTCAGCTTTATAGAAATTTGGCCTAGGTTGTTTGGGTGGTTGTAAATGATTGATTGAATGGAATTTAGTCTCAAATACAAGAGGTGGATGAATAAGATCAAGAGCACTTAATGCTTCATCGGCTTTATGAACACATAGGTTACTTTCTAATGAGGATATTAGATCCATCATTTTCGAGTTTTTGTTTTTAATGCAATTGAATTGCTTAAGATTATTTAGGGCCATGAACTCAGAAATCATCTTAAGCAATTCAATTGCATTGAAAGTCATTTTAAAATCAAGTGGGTCATTATCATTTTTAAGCCAATCAAATTAGGAAGGTTATAATCACCAATTACTAATGAGTGATCAAAATTGGAAAGATTGTTATTAGTATTGTTACGCGCCAAAGTCGACGGCACTAGCTCCATCTAGTGTCGAACCGAAGAACTAAACTTCTTGAAGTGTATTTACTCGAATATTCTGGATGTTTTCGTGGAAGAGCCCTATATAAAGGCGCTGCAATACGCGATCGGGGAAGTATTGAATTTGGCGAGACAAGCGAAGCTTCGGAGCGGAATAAAGTGAATCAGTGTGATTAATTCTTAGTGTTTTTAACTTTAATTAGTGTAAAGTGAATTAAAGTGTTAATTTAGGTAATTCTATCGGCAATTTTTATTGTCACGAACCTCAAGCTCGTAACAGTATTTTATTGTCTACAAACTGTTCATAGTTACTTAGATTAACGGAAGGCGGTATATAAGCACATATGCAAAGTTTTCTAAGGGTTTTTGTTCATTTCTGAGCTGAACTATAATTCAAAGATCTTCGGTAAGTCCAGTACCTTTATAATTTGGTCGTTTGGTTGGGTGGGTTACTTGTTAACTTGCATAGCTGCGATACGGATTTCTTAAAGCGTGAATACTATGATGACTTTTTTCAACAACGGTGGTGTTTTATCAATATTTCGATCTGAAACTGTTTTAATCCATATTCCTGAATAAATCCCTTAAGCGTCATAGTTGACCCTCCTTTTTAACCGATTTAAAAAAAGGAGCAGGTATTCAATTCGACTGTATGTGTTTTTAAATGTATTGTGTATATATTATTTTTTTATTTGTAAGCTGGTGCTTCTCATGTGGTCCCATATAAATTTGATCAAGTTTATATGGGTCTGAACAGTAGTTTTTGAGTAATCCTTAATAATGCGTTTTTAATTGACTTCGACTACATTGATGATGTACTCATTTTGTTTATATTGAAGTCGGTTGTACAAATTTTTTTTAATTTTACAACTTGTGTGTCGTCACTGCAGCCATGCTGGTTTATTTTCAGCAATGGCGGTCTTTGTTGTGTTTTTCAAGGTTATTTTCCTATCGTCGATGTATTTTTGAGTGACATTCCGGTCAGTGAATGGGTTTTAATATTGTTCCAAATCTTTAAAATATATTTGCTACTATTTCGAGTGTTTTCCTACATTTTTACATTATTTTTTTTATTTATTATTTTATTTATTTAACAAATTATAGATAATACTGAGGATATAATATGGTACAACATAAGCTTAATGAAAACTTTACCGTATACCACAAGCCGCCGACATTGAAAATTTGACATATGAGCTACACCTTAATCTACAAAATATGTATAACGCAACCCTACTAAACAGCAATTGGCACGGTCAACACGCGGTAAATCGGCAATACATACGTAGTTACGTAATAGTGCACAAGAAAGGTGTGAGTCTAGCTACCGCCCACTTCACCGCGTCAAAAACCGGTCTGGGTTTTGGTTCTATAAATTAGTTAGTTACTGAATATTTAATAGTAGACAAAATGAACATAGCTTTTATATATTGGAATTATGAACATAGGTTTCTCCCAAATGCGACAAAGCACGGTCCTGAGCTCCTGAGTCTCTTCCATCCTTTACTGGGTTGTTACTCCGTCTAGCGGAGAGGTCGCCTTACACTTAACTTACCCTTACCAAGCTACCAGTCGAAACGCTATCTTGTCTATCGGTTGTCAGTTGGAGCTATATGAGCCGACCGATGCCGCTGCAGCCTACTGATCCGTGGCTCGTCTGTCCCCACATGACACTTCCGATTGTGGTTGCAGGGCGGAGATCCAGCGGCTGCAGGAGGAGGTGGCGCAGCAGCCGCTGTCGGTGAGCGAGCGCACGCGCCTGCTGGACGAGCTGGACTACGCGCTGCGCGTGCACGACTCCAAGCGCGCGCTCGCCGACCAAATATCCAAGGTGAGCAGACCCTGCACCTGCCTTGCTGCAGCAGGACGTGGGGCGGTAGCCGCTGTCGGTGAGCGAGCGCACGCGCCTGCTGGACGAGCTAGACTACGCGCTGCGCGTGCACGACTGCAAGCGCGCGCTCGCTGACCAAATATCCAAGGTGAGCAGACCCTGTACCTGCACAGCTGCAGCAGGACGTGGCGCGGTAGCCGCTGTCGGTGAGCGAGCGCACGCGCCTGCTGGACGAGCTGGACTACGCGCTGAGCGTGCACGACTCCAAGCGCGCGCTCGCCGACCAAATATCCAAGGTGAGCAGACCCTGCACCTGCACCTGCATTGCAGCAGCGAACGAGCGTACGCGCCTGCTGGACAAGCTGTCGACTGGCTTCGATGTGTTTCGCTTGTGGTGCGACGACAGCGCTGCCACAAGTCATTCTGACACAAATGTTAGGCAAGCCTTCCGTGGCTTCTATCCATATTTTTTATGTTCGAATTCCAGGAAAACTGCAAAATGGTTTACGTAAATAAAAATATATTTTATTTAAAAACGTTCTAATAGTAGGAAATAGTACAGTATTGGGAAGCCAACAACGGGCAAGAACAAAATCGGAAGAAAAAGTATGAAGATACATATTATGAAATATTTTTACTTTTAACACAAAATGGATCTACCCAACCGTGTTTTAAAGGTTTTGGGCGTTGAATGAACGTACAGTGTGTAGTAATATCGATCGTGTAGTGTGACGTAATCAGAAGATTGAATTGAAAAAACTATTAAAAATTTTCAATGATACCTATTGAGGCAATGATGGTAGGTCATTTAGTTACTATTTTCCACTTGATCGCATCTATTTAGCTTGTCATTATACCATATAAATAATAATATTTCCGGGTTTACCGGTGTCAGTAAAATTTTGTTAGGTACGTCCTTAGTACCTATTGATGTTTTTACTCATAAATATTTCTTTAGTTTTGATTCTAAAGTTCATAAAATATATTTAGCTTCGATTAACTGGTGAAAGGATATACCACTTTTATTCCAATTCCACATCACACACACATTATCGATCAAAGTAGGTACCGTTTTTGAAATAAATTGCACCCAGCAACGCTTGACGTGAAACTTGGGCAACGACTGTGACGTTAAAAGGGATGTGTTGACAATTACAGGTATGAATTGACACGTTAGTGGCTACACGGGCACCGCCCATTCCCCTGTTCTATTGTGTATTGTATGGGCTAGACGATGTCGCCTTTACCGACAATATTAAACTCGATGACTGACTGTTCTTAGACTGCGTGGTGACAAAATGCCTCACACTACCTTCAATCTAGATAATACAGTAGCTGATCTGTTACTCGGAAGGAAAATATTTAAGAAAATGGTATTATCTTGGAGTCAATGTAGAAAAGCAGCTTACCACGTAGTATAATCCTGCTTACGTTAGATATTGAATGTATTTAAATAAATTATCAGACACTGAAGGAAACTCACTGAGACTACATTGAAGTATTAGAGAGAAATATTTTTTGGCACAGATGGTTTTGAACAAAGAAACTGAGCTTGCACTGTGGCAGAAGAAAACCCTGGACAGCTGCGTGGAATACAATAAAGGACTCGTACACCTCGCTGCTGAGTTCCCGGAGCTGTTGGCATATGCCATTGATGAAAAGTAAGTCTTAGTTGTACTCCGAGTCATTATATTCTTTTGAAGTGAAAACTTGTTTAGGCACGTACGCACCCACGTACGCACACGCTTATATGAGCGTGACGGTATACATTATATATATATATATATATATATATATATATATATATATATATATATATATATATATATACATCACGATATTGATTCTACGTCCTTTCATTTCGCATTATTATAGCGTCCACCACTTGTAGGCAATTTTTGAAAACTATGACGGCGTATATTGGTCCATTAAACAAATTCAAAGATAGTGTTCAACTCATTTTTTTTGAATATTTAGTATATGTCGATATACAAATATACGTATATTGCCAGACGGAGGGAAACCAATCGGGACTCCCTTCCATATTACCAATTATTCAGAATCCCCGTAATATACATAGTTTTTAATTCATTCTCCTGCTTATCGCAATTCCTTTGTATAGTGCGACGTTGCCACTCTTATTAGTTATTCTGTTTTGTAATATTTTATTTATAGGTGATATTTTGTTTAATGTAGAACTATAAAATTTATTGAATATAACCGCAAAATTTTAATTGACTATATAATTTAATCTTAACACATTATAATGTGAATTATTATGATGTTAGTAATAAGAATAAGATTATTTTATGTTAATATAATTATCAGAAATTTTCATTTTAATAATAAAATAAAAAATATTTTGTATTTAATTATTACTTTTCACACCGGCAGGAAGAATATTGCAGTATTTTTGTTAAATTGTTAAGACCTATTGTAACCCATATATTGCCAACGAATAAATGAACTTGAATTTAAATTTGAATTTCTCTACACTCACCATACAAAACACAGCAGCGATTTTACTCTGGCATTCTGTGAGAACGTAGTGCTTCCCCGGTCGAGTCGAATCATCTTTACGTCAAATTAAAAATATATTTGATTCGTTTAGCACGAATAATATAGTTTTTATCATTCTGGTTCAGATTAGATTTAATTTTAGTCACTTAAGTTTCGTATATTGTGAAAAATAATGAAATAAATGTACAGAATGTGCAATGTGAAATTGAGAAAATATAATTTTTGTCTACGGCAAAAAAAATAGACTATGTATCATGATTAATTTACCAACTAGTTATTCGTTGAGTCAATACAAAAAATATCAAAAATTGCCGAGCCGTGATAAATTATAGATTGAATATATTATTATTTACTTTAATTGTAAATACGTACTGATGTAAAATGAAACAAATATTGAGATCAAATAAAACGTTTATTGAACAAGCATCTTCTTTCAAACATTTGTTCAATGAAGTAGATACTTAGAATAAAGATTTATAATAAGGAACATAATTAACACAATTTGGCACTTGAAATAACATAGGTAGTAACTTTAGAGCAAAACTTTTGACGCACACAGTGCCCCAAAAACCGCTACAAACGGCAACATTAATTAAAAAAAGAAATAAGAAAGGTGTTCTAAGCGTTTTATCATTTCTAGAATTGTGTAATGTGAAAAAACTGTTCTAGAAAAGTGACTATTTTACACCGCATGGCATCCCTACACTGAAATATAAAAACAATAGCGAAAAATGTCATTAAAGCAATGGTCATTAAAGTGTGTTTTATACACAAGGAATTAAAATATAAATATATTCATGGTTATATGGACGTCAAATATCGTGCGGTATGAAACTTTACCGATAATCTGACGTCCACATATAAAAATATAACAAAATTCAAAAGTATGGACGTTAAATATCATTCTGTACGAATGTTTTAGGATATTCGAACGTCCGTATTATTATATGTAGCTAAATCTAAGGACACGTAAAGAAATTTGAAAGTAAAAATAGCACTTAGTACAGTATAAACCGACAAAAAATACCAAAATATACCTTGAGCACTAAATAAATAAGTAATCAACATAAATAAATAGTAAAACGCAATAATCAACAACATTGGACATCAGATATCAAAGAAATGGATGTCAAATAAAACTTTGTGAGAATATTTTAGGATATTCTTACGGCCGTATATGGGTAAATACTCAACTATACATTAATCAACTTAAACAAGTTTAACTAAGGAAACTTAAATGCAAGCAAACAAGCGTGGAAAGTTCTTAATGTGCGTAGGTCAAGGTACGGACGCCAAATAAAGCACGATATGCATGTTTTTTAGTAATATAGCGTCCAATATGAATAAAAATTATAATTGTATTTCAACTAAATGCAAAACCAAACATATCATAATTTAACAAAAATAGCCTTTCACAAAATAAAATCAAGTTAAGTAGATAGTAATTTCTTACAGATTAGGTACAATAGTCGCACTCATCCTTAAGATAGTGATCATAAACAGTAAACTCGCAGTGAGAGCACCAAAACTCAACACGATCAAGTAAATAAATTATATTTTCGGAGTTATTCATGTCAGCAAAATTATGCCACGGTCTGTTGTAGGAATTAACAAATCTTTGGCAACTAATCCAGTAAAACCTTTTATTAAAATGAATTTCTTCCCAAGGCCATATTAGGTTATTAGTCAGAATATAACAAAACAAACTTCTATTTAAAAACCTGTCAATATCTACAATTAACTCCATCTTTTTGTACTCAATCAGAAGGTAATTTATACTCATCTCTCATTGTAGCATCTGAAATAATCTATTAGATTAGGTATATAGTTTGTTGCCAAAAGAATAAATAAATATGCTATCGGTAATCTGTATAAACCGAGATTATATACCCAGGCAATGTACAACATACCTAAAAGGTAAACTGAAATATTATTCATTTTGTACTTTGCCTAGGTAGATCGGTACTGGCTTCATTTGACAGATGGATGTGACACAAATCGCCTCACCTCAGGCACATATTCCTTATATCGGTTTTTTGCACATGTACATTTTATGTGTATTTACTTTGCAAAATTCATAAATCAAAATGCAAAGCGTGTAACGTTGCGTTATGTTTCAACCTAGAGCAAGATTGCTGCTACTTTTTTTTTACTTTAGAAGTATAGTTGTAGCACGAATGGGTCGGCTCGACCGGGGAAGGACCACGCTCTCACAGAATACCAGCGTGCGAAATAGTAGCTTAATGCTGCTGTATTTTGTATGGTGAGTGTAGAGAACCGGAGACCCTTTTTACTGAAAACGAGGCATTCCATCTTAGTCCTCACGGGTGACAACGCATCTGCATTTTGATTCGTAATGGAGGATAGATGTGGATGTCTATGGGCCACAGCAACCACTTACCATCAGGTGGACTGTGTGCTCGTTTGCAACCCTATCCTATAAAAAAAAATACTAACAGTACCATTCGTAAATGAATAGTACTGTAGATACAGTAAATCCAACAAAAGTACCAGGAGCCTTTTAAAGAAATGAGGAGCCATGTTATATATTTATTCAACTAACTATAATTTATTCAGCTAATTATTTCAGACTATCATCGTTGAAATAGTTAAGTTGGTTAAGTTACAGCCTATTTACGTCCCACAGCCGGGCCTTCCCTCAGAGGGTTTTTTGAGAGGGTTTTAGGGCAAAGAAGTGCCGGCTGAGCTAACCCTATGCGTGTTGGCGAACTTCATGGCGAAAAAAATATGTCCTCGAAATATTTTTTTCTTATTTCTCAGACAGTCCGACTTCCTCACGATGTTTTCTTTCACCGCTCAGCACGTGGTAGATCAGCACTTAAAATTGCAATTAACAATTTCATTGATGCCAGCGGGGATGCACCCGGTTTGCGAGCGTACTGTGAAATTACGAACGAAACGACGAGAGCCGTGGGGGCTCAGAAGAGCCACCACGGCTCTCGTCGTTGAAACGAATACACCTTTTTATTTTGTATGTTTTTTTTTCTCTATAGGATAGGGTGACAAACGAGCACACAGATTGTGAGTAGTTGCTGCGGCCCATAGATCTCTTCATCTCACTCATCTCACCCTCGATTACAAATCAAAATACAGATGCGTTGTCACCCGTGAGGACTAAAACGGAATGCCTCATTTCCAGTAAAAACCGTCTCCGGTTCTCTACACTCACCATACGAAACACAGCCAGCATTAAGCTAATATTTCACGCTGGTATTCTGTGAGAGCGTGGTCCTTCCCCGGTCGAGCCGAAGTATTCGTGCTGCAACTATACTACTAATATAACTGCAGCATGGCTCTACCACGTATAAAAATGTTTTAATGAACTAGGAAAAAAATCGGACTTTAATTGTGGCATATTTTTGGAGCTTAAGAAGTGGGTTCTTTAAAATATATATCCATAATATATTTTTTATTTCAGGAAGAGATATTTTTATTTTAAATTTTATTATTTCGTAGATATTATTTGTGTTGAAGGAAATATGTTGATTATTTTGGTAATTGGAAATGTAAAATAACCGCCGCGCACCTTGCGCCGCCTTTGAACGGCTTTGTCACTCGACACTATTATGGTCGAGTATTGTTTACAAAAACCGTTATTTTAGACTGTACATCGGCACCTTTAATGGTTTTATGGCTTTTAAGGGAATGAATGAACCTTTATTTTTCTACAAGCGCTGTTGAAAATTGTTTGTTCAAATATGTAAAGTAATAAATTTTTTAAAAATATGGCATTTACGGCTAAAATTTTGATTACTTACACAGTACATTAAGAGTACTTATGAAATACTTTGTGAGATTTGTAAAACTTAGCAAGATCTATTTAAAGATGACTGAATCATGTAAGGAAAAAGAGAGTTTCAACTAGTCCTGGAAAAAAAACCACATGCTTCTTCATGAATTTAAGTATATATTTTTAAAGAAATAAAAAAATACTATTTTTATTGACTAACGATGCCGCTCTGGTCCGAACTACATTCTAAATCGGTGTAAGTTGGTTGTGGGTTCTTGTAAGCTTATTATTAATGCGTTTTATGATGAAAAATTGTATTGTAGCCTATGATTTTGCACACAAAATATTGTAAACAATAGATTTAAGTTTAAAATTAAACAAAATTGAACT